CAGAGGTGGGTGCTGTGTGTGGTGCGGGGGAGGGGGGGCGGGGGGGGAAGTCCTTTCCAGGTCAGTATTTTCACTGTTGATGATAAACACATTGCTGCTCTCCATAGATTGTATATCTAAAACACACATGGGGAAAAATACTACCATTCCTATTAAGAGCAGGTATTTCTAGGTCTTACTAGTAAGAATTATCCAACCTGGCTGGGGAAGTCTCTCAGGCGCTGCAGCGCAGCAGAGAAATTTAATTTTATGACATCTTAGGACAGCTTTCACTGAAAACAGTACGAGTTTTAATCTATCAAAAAGCTCTGAGGTTCAAGCCTGTAGGGGCTCAAGAGACATCTCTGGAGAACTGCACACCTGCAGGGAAAAGATGTGGCAAATTCCCTGCCACATGAAATCTGCCAACAGCCAGAGGGCAGTTTCAGCAGGGACTGGGGACGGCAGGTCTGGCCAAGGGATGCACAGGAATCTTTGAGCACAATCAAAAATTCAGATCTCTGGGGAAATCCTAAGGAGACCGCAGCAAGAAGAATACCGCCTGAGCTCCTCTGGAATAAACCTCCGTGGAGCACAGGTGGCTCTGCTTGAGCAGACGTTGTAAACTCCTGGAAGGAGGAAAGCAGGAAATCCAATACAGGATAATGCGTCAGTGAATTCCCCACATGCAAACTGTCCTGTGCCCACAAGAATGTGACAAACCTTCACGAAATCTAAAATCTTCCGGCTGCCAGCTCTCCAGAGTTTTGTCGCTTGTTTTCCGGACAGAAAGGAATACACTTACAGAAAAATATCCATGTGTGAAGTATTGAAAGTCAAAAATTTTCAGAGACAACCATGTACCCCACCTGATATTTCATGACGTGCTATTTCACCAGGGCAAATTTTGCAGGCAGGCAGAGAATACATTGCATTTCAGTCTGCTCTAGGTCTTACATGCAAGGAGATAAGTGAAGCGTCTTCACACGCAATATACCATAAAACATCCCTTTCCTCTATCCGAGGTGTAGAAACTGCCTCCCAACAGAGCACCAGAAAACAAAGCTAAGTCTTCAGATTTTTCTAAAAAAATCCAAGCAACCAAAGAAAAAGACTGGCATTTATCAGCCCGCTGACAAGATTTTTCCTATTAGATCTCGCTGAAGTGAGATTTAAATGTTCAGGCTGGATCAGCTCAAAGGGAAAATTCTGAAGTTAAAAATATTTGGACTCTTCTACTAAATGTATCAAAACTTCTGATAGTTTGCAGCTTTAGAGTACTACCTGCATGACATTTCAAAGCACAGAAAACAAACTTCCCCCTGCCCCTTTTTCACCTAACAGCAATAGCACCAATGTGATGCTCTCCAGTGGGAAACAGAGTAATGTGACAAGCACGGTCACCCTCATTCTATCTCCTCTCTCCTTAATTTACATACCTTGCCCTCATGTTTCCTCTGCTATCTCCTTTTTTCTTCAGTGCTCATCTTCAGATAAGAAATTAGCCATAAACCTCATAGCACAGTAAAGCTAAAGATCCACTGATCTTCTGACTGGACTCTCCTGCAATTGCAGACCCTTGTACACAGGATCCAGGTGATTTTTTTTCTAGGCTAGCGGAATACAAAATCCAGGTTGCAGGCCAATGATTAGTGGATCTTAAGCCTATCTATCAACCCTCGCAAGGACTGGCTTTCCATGGCTACCTGAAATAGCAGTATGTATTATTAACTGACAAAATACACCAAAATCATGTTGAAGTAATACGCTCTTATTCTGCAGACTCTTACATTTTCTAAGCCTTGTAATGTTTTAGAATATTAACCAAGACAGCTAGTAATTCCCTTAATTATGAGCACCAGATTGCACTGAAAAGCAGGATCCTGAGGAATTTGACATCCTCAGATCCTCTTCTCTCTTCACTGTGAAGCCAAAGGCATCATGGACCTGAAGGAGCTTTTATCATATTTTAAGCAGCAGCAGTCCAATGGCTGCGTGGCCAACAAGCCTCTCCAGTTTATGCACATTTATATCAGAAAACAGCAGGTACTTGCATTGGTGGAAAATGTAAGTAAAATACAAATCCATCTGAAAAGCAACAATTTAGCCTCACTTTAACTGAGGTAACCAACCATGAAAGATGAGCACAGTGGTCTGAACCTAGATCTAGTATTTGTGCACAAATGTTTAAAAGCAGTCACATTGTTTAGCAATATCCTTGTGATTTCCTTTTTTTTTTTTTTTGGTCACTTTTGCTATTATTGTTGTTCTGTTTAGGATGTCTTCTAACGCTGGAAGTGTTATATACAAATATAACAGTAGCAATGATGATAAATGATCCCCCTACTACATGTCCCTGTGATAAGGAGAACAAGAATTTGTGTGGAGTAATAATGACAATTATTCAATCTAATATGCATAAAGGAAACATCAAAAGGCATACATAATACCATACCACATCCCTGCCAGTCCACACAGGATTCCCAAGGGAAGAAGGATTGCACCTTTTCATTTATGTGTTTATTTCCAACACTTTACTAGAAGAATTAATGCTGCATAATGTAAGAAAGACGCAATTTCTTTCTTTTTTTCGTTCTTTCTTTCTTGAAAGGGAAGATGCACCAGTTCTTGCCTGCAGCTGAGAGGCCATGCTGGGACTAAGGAGGAATTCAGGCGAGTTTCACATCACATTGTGGCTCCAGGAGGCCTCAGCATAGGAGGTGCTCGGACAAGAACTGCTGGGGCGTTATTTTATAACCATGCTCCACTGAATAAAAAGAAGCAGTAATCGGAAATGGTCATTACAGCTTTCTCCCTGGATAGTTGCTGTGCCCAGCCCCAGGTTTTGGAGGAAGGTGGTAACATACATTCTTTTTCTTCTTCTTCTTCCTCCTCAACTCCGTTCATGTATGTGCAAAAGACATGCAGCTTGCTGGTCCTGCTTACTGTTACCTTCTGCTGCAATTTTAAAAATAAATCTCTTTTTTTTCCTCAGGCAAAAGAATGAGCAGTCTTAGGCTGTTATGCAAAATAAAAATTACTTTTCTTTCAGACACTGTGTAATGTTTATTTGCATTTGTAAACCAATTTAGAAAAAGCAACTTTCTAAATGCTCCTGGGATATATTTGATATGTTCCTCCTTTCTCCTGCCAGGTTCCTCTCCATTCACAACCACACGAGCTGAAAAATATTCAGAACTCTCTGCTGTTTATCGGTGAAATCTCTTGCTAGGCCCACTGTTCAGTCTTCTGCGAAGTGCCTTTGTACATACTGTTGCATCAGAGTGGAGTAGCCGGAGACAGCCTATCTAAATAGGGTTTAAAGACTTGTTTACGTGACACAAGGCCTGCAGGGTCAGCCTCATTTGGGAAACCATTGCCATAAGTCACTAATGTGCAACTTTAAAAAAAAATAATCTATTTTTCAATTTAAGGCACCACCATATTTTGCACAAACGACACTCAGACCAATAATAAAACCCTCCAACCACATGCCAGCAATGCCAGCACTCATTTTAATCCCTTTATATCATTATTTA